CTGCGCTGATCTCCGTCTCTCCTCCCTGCTTCTAGAAACACAGACGCACATTGTGTTTGGCATCTCTGTCCTCCATTGTAGCCGTGTTGGTGGGGTGGAGGGCACTTGTCTTTAGTGGCATGTGTCAACTTGTGGTCCTGGGAACAATTTGCCTCTTTTGTTTGCAGTGAGATGATGAGAAGTGGCGTTTGCTGAAGTGTGGCGAGGGTGTGTGTGTGTGTGTGTGTGTGTGTGTGTGTGTGTGTGTGTGTGTGTGTGTGTGTGTGTGTGTGTGTGTGTGTGTGTGTGTGTGTGTGTGTGTGTGTGTGTGTCTTTCTGAGGCAGGGGTGAGGATGTTTGCTTTTCGTCCGACTCGGCCTCTCCGCCTCCCTTGTCTTTCTTACGAGTGGCAGTAAGGCTGATTATGTCCTGGTGAGGGAAGCTGGAGCTGAGCCCTGCTTTTGCTCGCGCTGGATTAACACACTCTCACTCGCAGATTTTGCGTTAGCTGTGGCCGGCCTGGAGTGACCCGTCTCCCCAGGATTCCCCCTCCATTGATAGCAGACAGAGGATGGTGGCGGCAGGTTTTGCACGTCTTCCCTGACCTCCCCAGTCTGCCGCTAAGGGTGCGGGGGGAGCGGTTCCCGTGGCATCCCACTCCAGAGCCAGGGAGGCGGGGACAAAAGACGGACTGTTTTCAGAGGGCCATTACTCAGGGCTGCAGAGGATGTGGAAACAATGGCCTGCAGGAGATCTACACCCAAACCCTCGCATTCAACCGAAAAGCTCACAGGAAACATGATCCCCTGTTCACCGACGGTAGTTTCTCACAGGTTTATGCTTTGGTGAAGCATAAACGTTCACTAAAGCCTGTGGAGAAATTTCGGACAGTTTAGAGAGAACTGCAGATCATATGAGATTGTGTCCCCATCAGGAACAGGCTGTCAGAAGATTTTCATAGTATGAGAACTTCATAAAGATCCCAACAACAATGTGTAAAATGATCGACTTGCTTTTGTTTTAAACAGAAAGTTTGACTTTAGACCTTAATAAAACAAAACATGAATGGAATCCACCTGAATTATAAAAGATGTTATTGGATGTATGGCTAAATATTTTAGGTAACATTTAGTCTGTTCCAACATTTAGCCTGTTCCAGCATTTAGTCTGCCTCAGTATTTCTCTGCTTGCATCCCCACTGGAAAATTTATTGTTGATTATTGATCTTTTGTATTGGTAATTTAACTTGATCAAGACTTTTCTAACATTCCACACTACAAAATAAGTAATAAAAATATGTCTGATTTGTGCTGGTTTTGTATCGGGTCAGTACCATATTGACAAGTACTAAGAGCTGTAATATTGATATTGTATCGGAAGTGAAAAGCTGTATCAGGACAGGCCTAATGAATCCAGTGGACCTCCTGTTATAATAGAAACTCCAATCTCTACTGCGCTTTGTCTTGTATCTAATTATTATATCAGTAGTAAAGGTTGAAGATCGACGGGAGGCTTTTTTGTTTTGAAACTCGTTTTGAAACCTCGCCATGCCTCAACGCCGAACGCTGGTTGTGATGTCGGCTGATTTGCATCCAGAGCTGGTGGCTGTTATCCGATCACAAACCGTCACTCCGGACGTTGGTCTCTTAACTTGACGGCACATGGAAGCAAATGACCTGGAAGCAGATTGCCTGGCGTCTAATCTGCAATAACGTTGCACTTTGGCAAAGACTTGAAGCCAATTTGTCCTGCATCCACGAAACCTCCAGATGTTGCATCAAAAATTTCAGATGATGTGAATTTACAGCCGAGAATTAAATTAACCAAACTAACAAACATGATTAAAAGTTAGACGATTAAAGGTTGTTTTTTTTTTTTTTTTTTGCAGTTTTTATGGAGAACTGTAGAGTTTAGTGAACTATTTTTATAAGGTTTCTGTTTCTCAGACATATGCCTCAGGCTTGAGGCATTTGGTATTACATTAAACACATCACGTTGTATCAGTTTAAAAGTATGAAAACCACATTGATGAATGAATAGCAGAGCAGATGCATATTGCACGATGGACATAAACCTGAAGAATTTTACTTTCAAACAGAAAAAGGCTCACTGGCAGAAGTTCGGTTTAGCATTTAAAACATATTGAAGCGCTTGTCAGATTCTCCCTTCTCTTGCTTTGGAAATGTTCCCTTTGGCCTCCCGGTCCTTCATTAAGTTCCTTAAATAGACCCCAGCTATGGATTTCACCATTTCATTTTCTCAGTGCACTGCTCATTTAAAGATTAGAAGTAACCCGCAGATTCTCTGAATATTTTTAACTTGAAAGGAATTCCATAAATGTTTCATCGTTCATGGTGAGTTAAGTGCAGGAACCGCCAGGCTTTTCTTTTTCAGACCTCCTCTCTGGGTTATAGGGATTGCTGTGTGCCTTCTCGGGGAGCTTGCTCCACTCTGCGGGCCCAGGTTGCTGGGAATTGCGAGTGCTTGTTGTAGTTCATACAGCAGGAGTGAAGAAATATGGCAGCGGAGGCCGCGTGAGCAGTCGCCAGAAGATGAATGCCAGCCAGTGCTTTTTGTGCGCGGCTCGCGGCGGGACGCTCGGAGCTGTGGGGATCCTGGGACGGCACACACAACAATCCAGTGAACGCAGAACATGAATTATTGAATGTTGCTGCAGAAACGTCTCTTCACATTCAGGTTATTTACCTAGCAGCAGGTTTCTGTCCACAGGCAACGCAATGGACAACACGTTACGCTGCCAACCAGCAGAACTCAGTGAAGTCAACCAGCCTGCTTGGAAAGCTCAAGTTTTGAGTTATTGTCCCTTTCAAATGGAATTGTATCCCGTTTTATTTTGTCACATTATGACTTTAACTTGTTTTGGTGTGGTATACCAACACAAAGAAGTTCAAAACTGCAGTAGTTTGTAAAATAAATAATGACGCATGATGTCGCTCAGAGCATAAAGCGTAGAATTAAACTGATCTGCCCTTAAAGGTCAGGCGTATTGTTACGATACCAGTGCTGGATTTATTTTTTCAATATCAGGACCAATACACATATTGATATGCATCTGTGGTTCGTTCAAACGCTTGAAACTTTTTGGACTTTAAATGCACATGTCACACGGACACCTTTATTTATTTTTTCTAAGAAACTGAGATCAACCTGAGCTGCCTGCAGTGCTGCAGCTCAGGTTGGATGAATTCCTGTGGTGACAGCCTACTTGTAAAGACACGTGCAGCGAGCTGATAAGAAAATAGGAGGCAACGTCCCTGCTGCTTCACTGTAAACTTGTGACAAAGTGTCAAAGGTGATCCTTATAGACAAATTCTGCATGTGTGGAGATAAAACGTTGGTTTCAACGTGTTTTTTCTTTTCTTTTTGCATTTTTATTCGCGTCATCCCTTTTCAAAACGACGTTGTTTGTTGGCATAACTCCAGAGCTTGTGCCCTGCATTTACATTCAGAGGAATGGATATTTGTATGCTTTAAAACGGAGCGCAGAGGCGGCAGTTTTCAAATGTCCAGCATTATCAAGTTCACGCAGAGAATTATTTTCATTTTCAAATGTGGCCATTTATGACACGAGGGAAAAACAAAGAGAAAAAACGAATCAGCCGCAAAACCTGCTGGGTGTTCAGATTTGAATTTATTATGAATTTGCTCTTGTCTGCAGCGGAATAAAAATTTTACATATACATTTCCTCTATTTGATTAAACATCTTGCTGTAGAGAAACTTTTCAGCCGTCACCAAGATTCTGACTGGCCTGTCGGAAAATCTGTTGTGTGTTCACAACAAATTTCAATTGTCACTATTAGACTACTATCTAATAGTGACAGCAACTGTGTGTGAAGAACATTTTACATTGAAGATATGCATGAGAATAACTTTTAAAAAAAGATTTTAAAAAAAAAAGAAAATCTAAGATGGTGCAATAAAATACCCTAAATGGTAAATCTGTGCTCCATAAAGCCAAAAAAAAACTTTTTTATATTATGATATTCTATTATGTGGCTCATAACCAACTTAGCATCTTGCAAATGTCAAGAAAGACTCTTGGCTCTGACATTAGCTTACAGTGACTCCTGTTTATTGCAGCCCCCGCTATAGTTTGTTTCCTGGATGTTTTGAAATTTTTAGCGTAGCTTTTCTAAAGCTTTCCTTTTATTTTGTTTATTTTTGCAAATACAAAACCAGCAGCACGCCATAAACGTTTGTCTGGTCAGTTGCTGCAGATTTGCATGCTTCGTGGATCATGGATCATGTTATTCGTTTCTATTTGAAATATTTGTGTAGATATTGGGAATACATTTTGCTCGAGGTTATCGTACTGTAAAAAAAACAAAAAACAAAATCTCATGCCGTCCAATTCCTCTTGTAGACAGAAAACACAGCTTTTCCCCCAGATGCTTCGGTTTTCATGTTAGTCTTTCTGCTGACACTGTGATGTTCTCGTACCTCTAGGGTGTGCCCGAAATCTCAACTGCAGTATCTTTGACGCCTGGGAAAGATCCCTAATATTTGAACTTTAAATGAACATCTTACGAATACTGTTTACCCAGCTGAGACAAAGAAAGCCTTTGCATCCCTTTGACCTGTTCAGCGCTTCTCTGCTTTTGGATTTATTAAACAAACAGAAGAGAGAAGACCAGAATAAGCCTGTGATTTTTTTGTTTTGTTTTGTTTTTACATTAACTTTTCTCTTCTTGGATTATTCCAAGAGAGTATTTTTGCCCCAGGCCGTCCAAAAGCGAAAATAGGAAGAGATTTATGTTGATTGCAAAAACCTTGACTTGTTCAGCCCTGTGTTTCTTGGCTACGCTGTATTTTGCTGCAGAGTTTGTGGAGGTAATTGCTTTTTCTTGTGCAATATGTCAACAGTTTTGAAAGGCAATAAAAGATGCATTAATTCTTGATCGAGTTGACGAGTTCAAGGTATTGGCTGGTTCCGATGCGTGCATTTTAGAGGAATCTTTAATTAATTTTTTTTTTTTCCCCTCCCTGTTTTCCTCATAGTACTTCAAGATTCCAACTCCAACTCCAGAGTCACCTTCTGCTCTGCGCATCTTCTCCTTCTACCTGTCCAGTGACAGCAAAGACCAGCCTCAGGCCAGCTTCGACTGCATCCATCAGTACATCTCAAGGTACGGAGGGGACCAGCTCCAGGCTATTCTCACCAGAAACCAGTTCGATATTGATTTCTGGTTTAATTAAAAAAGTTAATCCCGAAACCAATCAGACTTTGAGATTGGTTTGTTTTTTCCACAAAAAAAGCAAAAGATTATTTTGGAATGTTCTGTAATTTTGCTTCCAACAGAAAATGGAGGAAATTCATGCATCAAAGTATTTTCCCCTCATGTAATCCAACTTTTTGTAAACTCCTGAAAAGTTGGGAGTTTTTTAAAAAGTTGGTTGATGTGTTTATGCACCAAATCTAGTGAGTGTTCATAGTTTTGATTCCTTTAATGAACAGAAATAAAATAGGATTTTTCAGGAACTTACCAGCCAAATCACAGATCAGAGCTAACCAAATCAAAGATGTCCGCTTCTGATATCTGGTGGTTTGATTGATGCAGCTCTGATTTTCATTTTTGTAAGATGCAAATTAGCTTAAGCATACCTGCCCCATCACAAGGATGCCAAATTCTCTGTATTTTTTTCTGGATAGATCCTCTCATTTCTCAAACCAGAGGCTTGAGTAATGAGAGGATGCCTCAAGTTTTTTTTTCTTTTTTCTTTTGTGCAGACTCAGCAGTTTGTATGATAACCTGGCGTGAAACCACAGGGAAAAAAAACTGAAACAAAAACTATAACCTGCTCTTATTGCTTTTGGTAAAAAAAGCAAAAACATTTTACTACTGCTTCAAAGAAACTGTATTTTAATTGTTTGGTATATTGTCATTTTTCCTGTTGTGCTCATTTTAACGTAGGTCTGAGAGTCATGTTAATGAAAGTGATGCTTTCCTCCAAAAATGTTTTGGTGGAAAAATTGGAAGATCACACTCGCATGTTTCAACGAGAAGCTGGGATATTCTCTGGCGAAAAATGGTACATCTACAAGAAAAATAATTACATTTTCCCATAATAAACACATATACATTGCTGACATTAAAACCTGGATGTTTTCTGACATCACAAAGTCAGATTTTGTAAGAAAATACCTCTTAAATTGATCACCTGGGAGATTTAGCTGTTATCACAGAAAAAGAACCAGAAAGCTCCATGTTGAAGGACTTTTTTTGTCACAAATGTCTGATTTTATAATCTCAGTAAACTTCTGCATGTTTTTCCCTGCAAATGTCTGACTTTATGATGTCAGAAAACATCTTTGCTTAACGTCACAAACTTATGCCTTTAACCCGAACATATTTTATTTTGTCCTCGGAAATTTACAATGTTTTGACATCAGAGAATAACAAAGTATTTCTTTTCAAAATGTGAAATCACTCTGCAGCATGTTGGCACAAATATACTCTTCCATATCCAATGTTTTTTTGTTTTTTTTCTTTTTTAATTGCAATGACCGCTAGTCGTACTCCGGTACTTTCTCTGGCTTATCAATTGAAAGGATCCTATGGGAGTCAGTAGGACGGGAAGCATGGTGACTTTGTGAAACCTTGTTACATGGTCCATGCCTTGTGGGAACAGTTCCAACCACAGCGCTTCAGTAGCTTGGAGTTGAGTTAGTTAAAGTCAACATCAACACACACAGAGGACACAGATCATGCATGGACACACTCCCACCGAAGGGCAACTTGGAATTGCCGGTTAAGCTAAGTTGCATGTTTTTCGGGTAGAGGAAGCCGGAGTACCCAGAGAGAATCTAGGCTTCCATTGAGAGAACGTCATGGTTCTTTTTAAGATGAAAACAAACTTTGACAGTTCCACAAATCTTTCGTTCTGTGCTCACATGAAGGTTCGCTAAACAAACTCTTTAGCTCTAAGTCGATCTCTGTTCTGCAAGTTGGAGCCAAAGTAATTCCTGTGGTTTTCCGTCGACTCTGCACTGCCATGTGAACAGGTCTAAATCTAGCTTCTGACATAACGTACAGCCCTACATATCTGGCTGGGAAAAACTCTCGTATCAGGCTCCACAAACACGAGGAGAAATCCTGATCTTTTTTTTTTGTCTCTCTCCCCGCTCCACAGCGACGGTCGCGAGCAGCTGGAGGGCCAAGGCAGCATCCAGGACAAGATCACCGTGTGCGCCACCGACGACTCCTACCAGATGACCCGCGAGAGGATGTCTCAGATGGAGAAGGACAGCTGGAGCCGCTCGGCCATCGAGATCAAGCCTGGAGCCACGCAGCCTAGTAAGATTAGACCGAAGGCTGGCGTGTACCGGAAAAATGTTGAACATGAAAGCATCTCTCTGTGGACTGGGCATAAACCTCGAACACACTGGCTTTGTGTACAATGGTCCGTTATAAAAATCAAAAATAGCAAACTAAGTAGCGCCAATAAAAATAATAAAAAGAAATCTGTTGGAATATTTCTGTAAATTGAACAACAGCACTGCTGAGATCATTGCTCGAAGCTGAAAAACAGGCGTTTTTCCTCTTTCGACGACTAATAAAACTAGATGTGCAGGCTGACCCATAGCTTGTAAAAGTCGCGTCTCCAATATTCTTGTTGGATTCGGCTTTTCAGCCTTAGTGTCCGACAGTCCAGTGGTTCAGAACCAGTTATCTTCATTTAGAGCAGGATATTATGTTAATGTTTGTGCGTTTTTAAGTGTATATAGTGAAAAAAAAAATCCAACACATGCTCTGTCTCTGCTGTCTTTTTACTGATTTTCTATTTATTTTTTGCAGCAAATTCTTAGTTTAACCGTTAAAAGGAAAATAATGCAGTGTCATGTTTGCCTGAAAGGGACTTATGGACATTAAGGGTGACCTATAATGCTTCTTTGGACAGATTAGGATAAGTCTATGGGCCAAGCAAAACATGTTCATTACATGGTTTTTTGAACAGAAAATAATTTAATAGATAATGAGATTTTTCTCTGCTTGGTTCTGCCTTTGTTGAACTCCTTTCAGAACGAGCTGTTTTAGGGCTTCTGTCACTTTAAATCCAAATAAGCTGCAACTGGCAGCTCAACGTTTTTACTCTTGAACGTAAAAATGACTGCAACTACACAACTGTGCTTCTTTGAAAAGCACAAGTAGAGCCTCCTTCACAACCAACAAGGTTTCTGGATGGTAAGCCATTGTACAGTGCATACAGTGGTAAAACATGCTGACCAAATGTGCTAGAGCTCATTTTGGGTTGCTAGGTGACGGTGTGATGTGATTCAGCAATCGAGAGGTTTTTGAAACGGCTCATTTTCCAGACACTGAAAACATGAACTTATTGCCAAAAACTGCTGGGTGTTTTTTATTATTAGTTTTTTTTAAAGAGCTTTTTCACTCGTTGAGATTCAAAGGGAACTATAAAACATCCAAAATGTGAACTTTGCATCATCAGTTCTCTTTAAATAAAAGGCAAGTGAAGTGTTTGCCACGCCGCATGTTCAGAATCCAATTTTTGTGCACTCTTTTTTTCTTCCTTCAATCGTGGAAGCCAAAATCATCTTGCACCTCTTTAATCTTCAGAGAAAATAAACTGGACAGCTACTGTCTGTGCTTCATTGTCTCTGCTCCAGCCCTTGCCGTAGTTATGCAATCATTTTCCTCGGCCCATTTCTGGACCCCGACATTCAGGCCGTAGCTCCAGATGATGTGGACCAATTTCAGACTCAGTAAATTGTGTAAACTGAGGTCTTCAGCTCGAGATGGGAAAGCAAGTTGGAGTGTATGGCCAATTTAAGTCACTCTCTGAACACTGCGCTGACTCAAAGTATTTTCCACCTGCAGAAACGCGTAAAACATTCCAAATCAACATCTGACTCGCATTTAGTCACGGAGTTAATTTGCAATATTTCAGTAACCCTTCAATGCCCGCTCATTTGGACATTGAAGGGTCTTTGAGGATAGAAAAAAAGAAGAAAATGTACTCTTTTTACTCTGATACCCCTAAATGAAATGCAGTGAAACCGTTTGCCTTTTGATTGTTTCATATATAAACTAGGAGTGCACCAATAAATCGGGTGCTTTATCGCTACGTTTAGCGACTTTCCAGATAAAAAAAAAAAGCTATTAAATAAATTGGAATTGGCAGGCATGATTTTTAAATATCGGTGAGTGACCAGAAGTTTGCGTCTCAGTGGAAATGCAGCTGTTTTCTGAAGGCTTTGGAGGTTTACTGGACCACAGGTCAAGTTGTGGAGAAGCTCAAAGCGTGGCTAGGATTTCAATGGGGCTGAAGCGATTAATCGTGATGACTCGATTTTAGAAATAACTCAACTAGTTTAGTCATTGACTCAAACAAAAGGCAATCTACTGAAACAACACGGTCAGAACAGTGATTGAACCAAAACTGTACAAAAATGTACATATTTTGTATTTCCAATATAAAATCTTACATGGTTAAATTTAAAAATCTGTAGAATGTGACAATATTTTTATCCAATTAGTCGACCATTTGTCAGAATAATCGATAGAATAATCAATTACTAAATTGTTAGCTGCAACCCTTCTCAATAATATCCCAAACTGGCTAGCTTGGCAAGGAGAGCATTACTCAGAGTTGCAGCTATGGAGGAGCCTGGAAAATGTGAAGTTAATGGGGGAGACACTAAAAAAAGTCCTATAAAGTGAATATAAAGGTCCGACGTTTGGATGTAAAACGTTTTTGTTCTATCAGATTCCATCCATCAGCTGTCACTTATACGGGTCAAATCGTGTATAAATCTTCACCTCATCGTTGGCTGCTCATATTTACATGAAACCCACACCAGCAGATGACGCATAAAGCAGAAAAGTTCAGGATGATAAGGAGGTAATATAGCGGACACACTTCAGTGGCCGAATAGAAACCTCTCTTTTCCTGAACCTCTCTCCCCGCTCTGACCTTTAAAACTCAGATTAACCTGCAGCAGGATTAGCACACAGAGAAGACGGCTTTCACGGCTCAAACGTGCCCGGACTGCATGGGGGGAAAAGTACGCAAAAATCAATGATATTACAGTCTCCACACATCCTTAAAAAGTCTTAATTCATGGATATAAAATTTAGCACTTAAAATGTCTTAAAATCATTTTAAAGAGAAAGTTGACTTAAATGCAGGTCTTGCATTTTGTTGTAGCGGGATTATTTAATCTTGCATATTCTCATATAGATTGGGTTCTGCTTGAACAGCACACAGATGTGCCGGTTAAGCTAAGTGTTTGCTGTATGCATTTAATTATCTTCTAATGCACAATTAAAAACGGTGAAAACAGTTCTCCAAGAATCCAATGTGGAGAAATCTGAACGGCCTCAAACTGACCAAATTTCTTCCTGCAATTTCGGCTCGTTCGCAGGTAAAAGCGTCAAATACCAAAAGAGATCCGCTCCCCCGTCTGCTCCTGAAAGCAGCTTCTTCAAGCAGCCGGCCACCAACCGGAGGAGCCACGGCATGCCGACCCCCACCCCGAAGCCCCTGAGGGAACGCATCATCCACCTGCTGGCCCTCAAACCCTACAGGAAACCAGAGCTTCTCCTGTGGCTGGAGAGAGAGCGAGCCGCAACAAAGGACAAGGCCGAGCTTGGAGCCGTGCTCGACGAGGTGAAAACCACAAACTCTCACCACTGCAAACGGTTCACACAGTTTGAAGTCGACGGCTTTACAACGTATCCATACTCCATGCGGTTTGAACTCCCGTTTTGTCACATTGTAAACTAAAAATACCAATTTATTTCACTGCTCTCTTGTTTTTCCTGTGATAGGCCGGCACAAAGTGGCGCATGTACATTTGTATTCTGAGTTAATAGTAATAATACGCCTAACAGCACATAAATCTGCATATAAAGTCCCCCTCTTCCAGATTTCGTCATCTACTCATTTTTTCACACAGTCGCCTTTCAAGTTTTCTCACCAATTTTCTTGTGAACTTTGATTGGACCATTCAACACACACATGCGTTCATCTAAGGCATCCCATAGCAGGTCTAGTTTCACCTCTGGTCGTTTATTTGGACTCCAATGTTATTTCTAAGTGGACTTTAAAACACAAAACACTGCAGGAGGATTTATATCCTGTATTCTCATAAGGACTACAGCATGAGCTGCTTCATGTTGGTGGTGTTTTGTGTGTTTTTGGGGGAATAATGAATATGTGTCTAAACGGCTTACTTATTAGTTACAGCCCTCCAGCCTGCATGTAATCCAGAAGAGTTGTAAAAGTAAAGTTACTTTTACCTGCTCCTTCCATTGTGGTTTTAAATATTAGTGCAGTCGCTCTTGAGTTTTCTACGCTTTTCCCTGCGCCGCCTCTTGGCAGCATTCATTTCCAGCCATTAGTGACCTCGTCTACGCTTTCCTTTCAAAGCACCAAACCAAACACTTATGGGGACTAAAATGTATACGACAGCTAAAAACTATAAACAAGCATCAAGTCTGGCCGACCAGTCTGAAGTTTTGAGGATTCTTCCGGCTGTTTTTGATTCATGTTTGTGTTGTTTTTGTGATTTTCTTTTTTCTTGTCGTTTTTGTTTTTTACTGATCACAATGGTGTCCGTCTTCTGTCGTCCCTCAGCCCATCGATGCGTGTGCGTAGGGGAGATGTGTAGGTTGTTGTTTCTAATTAGGTCAGTGCTATAATTGCCTCTTCAGAGATCCTGTTTGCTGTTGGGCGGGCCGCCGTGTCAGCAGGCATCACAAAGATGGATGTCCTCAGAGAAAGGGAGTCAAATACGAGGCTATCGCTGTTGGTGTCTCAGGGCGGCGGTGGCAGGGGGACAGCTCAGCTTCTCAACATGGCAGTTTTATGACTGTGGATCAGTTTAATGAGAAAAGATGGTCAAAAATTCATGATTTTTTATGGGTAGGGCTGAAACGATTAATCGTGATGAATCAAATCAAAAATAATCGTCCACTAATTCAGTAATCGATGAATCACTAATTGGAGTACACAGACCCAAAACAAACTATTTGATGAAAAAAACATTTTTAGAGCTATTAAGTTAAGACCAAACTGCATAGATTATATATACATTCTGAATTTAAGATTGAAAAAATTGTTGACTGTTGTTGCGTTTTAGCCAAAACTCCTCAGGCAATATTGTTTCATCGTCACCCAAATCAAATTCACTAAATAAATGTTTATGTTTATTTCTTATGTGAAAAAAGGGATTATATTATTATTTGAATCTTATAATGTACTCTAATATAAAATAGTATTATGTGATTAAATGAAAAATTAGTTGAACGTGCCAATTTTTTTACCCGATTAATTGATAGTCAAAACAATGATAACTAAAATCATCTTCCACGTTGCTCCGCTAACGGCCAGTTTTTCCCGTGCTTCAGGTGGCCAGAGTGAATCCCAAAGACAGCAGCTACCTGCTGAAGGACAACTTCTACAAGCACGTTCAGAGGGACTGGCCAGGCTACAGCGAGGAGGAGAAGCAGCTCATCAGCAGGCTGCTGTCCAGGTGAGTCAGAGGCCCGGCGCCAGCAACAAAACAAAAGGCAGACGTATGGAGTCACTAAAACTACAACAAAACAAATGTTGGAAATATCTGCAGTATCTGCCAATTATTCTGCGGTGAGAGCATATATTTCTTGCTAAACAGATGCTATCTTTGTCACTGCCAGGGACTGACTTTATTTACAGCACTGTGCTCAAACATGGAGACTTCTCCGCGTGCTTTGAGCTTCAGACCGGTGCTAGCCCCCCCTCCTACTGTCAGCCTCAATCATTTCTTTATGGAGGGGGATAAATTCGCGAGTTTTTGCTCGACATTTTCTGAATTCCACAGACGGCGTGTTTTTATGGCTTTATATATCCTGTTCTCTCTGTGTGTTTAACAGGAAACTTCAGCCCCACATCAGCAATAAATCACGCAACGTTCAAGCACACTTGTCAATACCTGCGACCCCTGAGGACGCAAGCGCAGCGAAAAACCCAGCTGTGGTAAATGGATGTTTTCTTGTCAGTAATATTTATGTTTTCAGGATTCAACAGTGGGAGTTTAATTTTAAAAAATTGATGTAAAAAATCAGCCAACCATTAAAGTGGCCTTTTGGAGTTCTGCCGCGTTGTGTTTGTCTTCCGATTTGGAGCTCGGATTCATGTGGTGTTTAGCTATACAGAAACAATAACAGCAAAAAGTTGGGTTATTTCACAAAAATATGGGGGTTCATTTTCCAAAGTCCTGTTTTCATCACAATTATGCATAAATATGATTATAATTAAAATGTAGACGATTGTTTAAAAAACTAAATGTTATTTTCACATTTAAAAATGCCTATAATTAAACATTAAATTTGCAATTTAGGTATGCTACGCTAAATACTTAGTTATTAAGCTACGTGCAGTTAGCAAGCTAAATATGAGACAGCAATGAATAAACTTGCAAAGTATTTACATCATTTATCTTAGCTAACTAAATATTTAGTTGGCAAGCTAAATTCATATTAGCTTGAATTCAGTTCAGACCTTAGTTTAGTTTATTTTGCCCACCATATATTGACCTTGCTGACAAGAAATGTAGCTTGCTAACTAAATATTTAGTTTGCGGCTAAATATTTAATTTGGAGCCAAACACTTAGTTTTCTAGCTAATTATTTAATTTGTCAACTAAATAAAACAGTAAATTTGACGGTAAGTTTGAGTGCTACCTGAGTCCTGAATGAGCAGCAGCCATATTGGATGCAGAATTGTAAATTCCGACTCTTTTTTTGCAAATGTAACTCATCATTAAACTAAAACAAGTCCCAGGTGGGGAAGAAGATCTTATTATTACATAGCATTAACGTCAACAGACCAAGAGTTAACAGGAAATGCAGGATTCATGTTCCCATGACGCCTCAAATTTAAAAGCTTCAATGACGGTTTTCGCTGAAATGCTGCAGTTATGTTTGGGTCTACGGGTTTCCTCTAATACTTTATTACTAAACAAACCTGACTTGATAAACACGTTTCTTTTTTTTGTTTAGTAGTGTAAGTCAGAGCATTGGAAAGGTTGCAGCAACATTTTGTATGTAGGATTGAAGGATTTTTCTGAGAATGTTTTGGGTGCAATTGTTATCTCTGTTTTGGTTTTCCATCTGCTGTCCTTGTCTTCCCCTAGAAACGACCTGTACCCCCGGACTCACAGGAAAGACTGGCTGCGAAGAGGCAAAAACTAACAGACCAAAGGTTACACCAGTCTGCGGCAAAAGGACTCGCAAGCACTAAAGGAGCACATGATAATGCAGCTGTGACCTTCGACCCCAGTCTCATCTCTGTTGCTGAACCTCAGCGGATCGGTGGCGTTCCCGGTGACCCCTGTGGCCTAACTGTGGCCCACAATGGCTTTCCTTTCGAGCACGGCCCGTCTGACGGACATATTTCTGAGAAAAGAGGGCAGGACGCTAACGTTAACAAGCTGGAAACGCCGCAGGGCGTCTCTGGCTGCACTCAGCAGCAAATCCACAACAGCCAGCACAGAAAGAAGAAATCTAAAAAGCACAAAGAAAAGGAGCGGGAGAGGTTAAAAAGTGACAAAGGAGCCGAACGGCTGCAGTCGAGTCTCGATCTCAAGCAGAACACAGAAAAACTTGACAGTAAGGCCTCTTTCTCTTCTTCTTGTATTTTTTTCTCCTTGTTTTTCTTAAACTCGTTTACCTTATTTTTATTTTGCTTGCATTCAGTTTTCTTTTATATTTGGCTGAGTGTTGTATCTGTTGCCACATCTGTGTCAGTCTGACTTTTGGAGGGAACCTCAAAAAGATAAAAAATTTTTTGTGCATACTGTGCATGTTTTACAAGCCTTACACCTCATATTATAATTCAACTCATTTTGCATGTGCTGAATTATTAACATATTGGCAGATTTGTATTAAATTTAAATACTTGAAAATTATTCTCTTTTTGGAAGCGCAATGGAGCCACCTGCCAGAGTGTTTCTAAAACACTCTACCTGCTTACCTATTAGGCATGTTGCAATAAATGATGATTAAATTAATCGCATGACATATTAATAATTCACATTTCCATGATTTTGTGTTTTTCTCTTTTCTCTCCATTTCTATCAAAGACTGAATGGCTACCGTCTTCAGTCTGGTGGATTGGTCTCAACCAGCCATTTTATATGAAGGACAACTTTGTCTGGAGACTTTATAATTTATTGTTAACATTTTAAAATTGTAGTCCAGCTGCAGGGTTAATTGTTCTTTAGAGTTTCAAGCTTATTGAGTTTGAGAATATGTCTTTAGATGATTTTGCCATTACGTTACTAAAAAAAAACGTCTCAAAACAATATTGTTGTTTTTCGCAATAACTTCTGGGACAATTTATCGTCCAGCAAAATGCGTCATTGTGACAGGCCTATTACCTATTAATGTTCTGTAACTTACATTCATTTTATTAATCATTTTATTCTTCTGGGATAGGGCACCAAAACTGGCTCCAGCCCAGGGAGCCAGTTTCTAAATCCGGCCCTGGTCAGAGCTGTTGTTGCTGTATATGAGTTGAAACGCAAACACTGAAAACAGATGACCAGAGAGAGGCGTTAGGCTGCTCTGGGGTTATCTGACATCAGCATGGGCGGTGCGTTTCTGCTGTATTATCTCTTGAGCGTGGCAGTGTTGGCTCCCCGGAGCCAGCCCCTGTCTTCTGTGGCTGAGTGACTCACAAACGGCTCCAGCGGAGCGAGAGGTCCCCCGACACCCAGGAGCTTTTCTTCCGTCTGGGCCGACCGAGACGTGTGGCACAAGCACCCTGACGCTCCGCAGTTCTCAGGGAAACCAAAACGAAGAGCTTAGCGTTCGAATAATAGCTGAGCTTCGTGTCAATGATTGCACTGACTCAACTGCAGTTGATTGAATTTTCTTAATTGTGTATTTGCTGCAGATCCTGACATCACAAGTGGTGTGGCCTCCGAGGAGAAGCCGGACTACGTGCTGTGAGTGTAAACAGGATGTAAAGTAACTGATCTGTGTGCCGTCTCTGCTGGTAAATGTTGCTTTCCGCTGACGTTAACTTGACAAAAAAACAGATATTATTAATGGAAGTTTTTTTTTTTTTTTTGAGATGAGTCATAAGCTTATTGTGGAATTTTTCAGGACTGTCTTGCTGCCATCTTGTGGTAAACTAATGCACTGCAGGAGAAGAATATCAGATCTGAGGAACAACTTTAGAAAACAAACATTTTTTTTGACAACTAAATGTTTTGTACACATGCAGCCAGGTCTTTATAAAAGAAAAATCTGTGTCATATTGTTAGCAAAAGTAATCTCACACACCCACAATCAATTTCAGAGAAGTTTCCATCCACATGAACTCACACAAATACCTCCTTGAAGCTTGTTGTAAACTGAAAACCCATAAGGGCAGTTTAGTGCAAAACTGTAAACCATCAGCCAGTCAGATTGCCTCAAAACAACCACAACTTCCTATTAGGAATAAAACATGGTGCCAGAAAATTTATTTGTGTGGAGATATAAGCAGGTACTTTTAAATAACTTATTAGAATAAAAAGTTAATAAAACTCAAGACGATGTTCGTAGGAATTTGTGTCGAAGCATAATTATTTTTTGCAACACTCTGTTTAAAACTTCCACATCCATGCTGCCATTTTCACCTCCCAGCTTCACCTTCTCACTGACTCCGTGTTGGGTTTTGTGGTGTCGTTGCAGGGCATACAGCCCCATTTCAAGTTTGGAGCAACGGCAGCGATATCAGGAGGATTTCTGCACAGAGTACGACGAGTACAAAGACCTTCACTCCCGGATCGCTGCCATAACACACATGTTTGTTCAGCTGGGCTCCAAGATAAAGACTCTGTCTCCTGGCACACAGGAATATAAGGTATGTATCTACAGCTTATCAGAAACGAGGCCTGCCGTATGAAGATAGATGTGATGTTTTGTACAATCTGAATCAACAGCAATAAATTGACAATTCTTTTTTTTTCTTTTTTTAAGACTATGGAAGACCAAATACTGGAAAAGTACAGCAAGTTTCGGAAGGTAACAGCACTTAAATGTTTAGGTTTATATTTGTATACTTGTTCTATTTTTGTGAAATTTTTGTTTCTAGCAAATGTCTATATGTTACATCTTAGTAAGCTTTGAAAATGTACAACTTCTATCAAATTTTGTCGCATTTCACCCATAAAGATCAGTCAGAAGGAAGGCTACAAGATGACAGACCAAGACCAATATTTGTATATTGCACAAATATTTGTAATATTTGTGCTTATGTATGACGGTAAATGTGACCTTTGGTTACTCACCAAATCGATCATAGACCATAACTTCACCTGGAGTAAAGCTGGAGGCAGCAGTGTAGTAGAAGTAGGAAGTACTGCCACCTGCAGGTGGGAGTTATTGCTCACTTAAAATCTATGTTTTTGCTGAAAATTTGCAATAAACTCACAATTTCACATCAGAGCAAAAAGGTGCGGCAGTATGTAGATTTTGCGCAAATTTTCCACAACTGTGGAATTGCAAAACCATGGAGGGGACCGACTGACGTACATTAAATACATGTGTTGTTTTCTGTGCAGATTTACCAAAATGTCCTGACTTGCTGTCTCTTTTCTCCACAGAAGTTTCCAGGCTACAGGGAGGAAAAGAAGCGCTGCGAGTATCTTCATGAAAAACTGTCGTACATCAAACAGCTCATCATCGACTATGATCTTTCCAAGCCCTCTTCATAGCATTCGTTTGCTTTTTTTTTTTTGGTTTGTTTCTTTTAAACTGTCAACTTTGCATACCCAACATGAGTGTCAAAGCATTTATACCAGTGACATGAACAACCTTGAAAGGAGACTTCAGCTTTCTCCACACACTTCTGCTAAAGCCTCAGACGATTCTCCAGAGTTCTCACAACGTAACTGAGCGAAAAATCACTGGAAGGTATTTGGTTGGATTTTTTTTCCAATGTAGTTTTTGACCTTAACTTATTTACTTTGCTGTTTTTGACACTTGTGAAATTATTCCCTTTATCTCTCCTTATACAGCTTCTGTATTGTTTTTTGTTGCTTTTCGTACCCCTAAACATGTCTAATTGTAGTGAAAGTCATGCTTTGAGGTTAACCTTGTCTGGGGTGAGCGGGAGAAGCAGCCCACATGTGAACATGGATGAATCAACATCGTTCGTTGCTCACAGTTTCTAATGAGTTATTTTGAGTTTTTGTCAGAATGGTGAGTCACGGTGTGCCGGACTTTTTCACACTTTGTTACAACGCCGAACTTTGACATTTAGCATCGGGATGAAACGCAACAAAGCCATGCATGATTGTGAAATGGAAAGAAGAAGGATACATAGTGTGTATTTTTTTAAAACAAGTACAGTGAAAACTCTTGAGCTGAAGAAAAGCATTCCCGCAGCATAATCCTGCCACTGTCATGTCTTAAGGTTGTTTAGACTAATGCTCAGTGTTGGTTCTCTTTGTTTTGTATTTAGCCTCTTTTGGACCAGACCTGTTTTGTGGCAAAGTCAGACCAGAAATTTCAACAAAGGCTTTCTTTCTGTCTATGAAGGCTTTTTTATATTGCTCAACACTCGTTTTGTTATCACTGTTCCACTTCGTCCTGCTTTAAGCTTCCCTGTGACATTCTCCATGACCTGGGCTTCGTGATGCTGTTTTTTCACTACTTTTCTCTTACAAACCTTTGAGGCCTTCACTGAATAACTAGAGTAGATTTTGCTCACTAGAAAAGTGGCTTTTAGAGATGTTAGTTTGCACTGCAGTTTATTTAGGGAGAGCAGAACACGTTTCCAAGCCACGTTTATCAGATTTTATTTCCGTAAAGACTCTATAAAATAATATATGTTGCGTTGCGTTTGTTTAAATTCCAATGAAATACATTGAGGTTTGCAGTTTCACAAAATGGGAAATGGCTTCCCGTTTGCAAAGCCAGACTTGTAGCCGAACTGGATTCATCTTTTGACGAGATTAAAATGACATGTCACTTTATTTTATTTAGATTCCCTTTGAAGAGAGCAGAAAGGGCTTGGTCGAGTCACTGTAACCGGCATCCGTGTTGTCTCCGAAATGCACTAAAGTTCAAAGTATTTATTAACCGCATTCCCCTGTCTCTGGAGCATCTGATGGTAAACGGACCAAAATGCCTAAACTAGCTCATCTGCTGAAGTATTTTAACCTCGAGAAGAAAAAAAGGACTTCCATTTCTTTCTTTCTTTTGTTTTTTTTTTTTTTCTTTTGCATTGAACTACTGACATATTTATTTTTAACCTATTTATCTCTGTCCTGTGACTTTAGTCATCTGAGCTTTGAAATCAAAGTGTTGGTAGGGATGCAGCCAGGGAAATGACGCGGCGATAGATTGAAGAGCATCATCTCATTCATTCCAGTCCTCAGGTTCTCTCACTTCTCTTGCCTTTTACGGATTGCGTATTGATTCCAGAATGATCCCTGCACAGTAAATTCATATAGCCTTTGTTTTTTTGTTTTGTTTTTTTCCCTCCAAGACGGAATCCGTTTTGGCAGCAGTCACTCGCTATTCTTGCACTTTTTTTTAACCGACTGTCATCGTGTTGTCAGTGACAAAGAAGCCTTAATGTGAAACGTTTGTAGGTCGAGGTTTTCAGACTGCCAATATGATGAAGAAGAGGAGATCATCATACAAACACTGCCTTATTTTACTAGCAACACTTTATTAGGGTTCATTAGGTACTAACAAAAGAGTAATAGTAGTCAGTAGTTAATTTGGACTTGAGAAACTACCGTCCTCATCTGTTTCCTTCATATCCCCTCTGGTACTCATGGATCCTCATGAATAAAGTAGATATTTAAGTATTTATCATCAGGATCAATGTTATGTTTCATAAATGTGTTTTCATGACCAATCATGCAATATATATATATTTTAGTTTTTTTCTGAAGCATTAATGTATAACCCCATAATGATTCTCTCCCCATTCTGGATAAGTGTTGATCATTTTCGGGGGACCAGTGTGTGCTGCACAGGTGCTGAAAGAAGAGCCTGTCTGAGGAATCAGAGGAGAGACTTTGTGTATTTACCAATGTTTACCTTCTCTTGTCCTGGTATGACATTTCCAAAAATAAAATGTTTAAAAATGAAAAGTCCTCATTGCTGAAAGTCTTTTACTCGCCCTTTGAGTGTGAGAATGAGCTTGTCTTCTATCCATCTTGAATGTCAGTGTTACTTTCGCTGTAGTTGGAGCGTCATCACAGGGTGCACACCCACACACACTGAATTTTAGAGTGACCAATTGACCAAACATGTCTGAATGTCTGGAGGTTGTAAAGCTGTGTGTGATTTGAACCATGTGAAGTGGGAATTTATTGCATTTTCAATACATTTTACAAGGAGCTTTGTCAGGGAGTTTCACCAGTTGTAATTGTAAAGTTATATATTAAAAAAATAAAATAAAATGTTGAATGACTTAAAAACTACCGCTCACATTTCCATTCACTGAGGTTGACCTAAATTTCAGTTTCTGCTTGTACAGACGTAGACATACCTCAAATGACAAAAAAAAAGAAAACAAAAAAGTGGATCTAGTATTGACATAAGGCTTGAATAAAGCAAAAAAAAAAAATTCTATGACTGTTTTTAAAACCATGTATTAGTATTATTCCACTTGATAAATATACATTACGTGTCTAAATAATAAAACATTATTGAATAAGTGAAATTTTGTTTTTCGGAAAGAATTGGAAAACGTAAATGCGTATTTTATTCCATTTATTTATTTATTTATTACTGTGTTTATCAAATAAACCATTTTTTTATGTGACTCTTTTGGCCGAAAGATCCGAATCTTAGAAACGAGTCGAAATTCTCATTTCACCGGATGATAAACATTATCATCCGGGTACTCAGGGTCGTTCATCAATCGGCACGTGACTTCTGCTGTTCCTGGGTTGTCATGACAACCACCTAACGACACTGTCCAGGGAAGTCGTTTTGAAATGCTCCCGAAAAGAAAGGTAAAACTCGTATAAAGACATTATAACACTAATATAAAGACTGTCGGCTTCAAGCCGAGCCGTGCTCTGAGCTTTAAGTTAACCGTGTCTATGATGTTCGCAGCCTATCAAGTTGTCCAGTTTGATTTTCTTGAACGTCAAAAGTAAATTAGCTTAATATGCGGTGTGTGTAAAGCTGCAATGCAAGGACAATTATTGTCATTCTGTACTGAATGCTTAGAATACAGCGGAAATGTTAGGAGCTGGCAAAGAGGACCCCAAACCAGAGCCTCCTGTTCGGGCGCCTTTTCTGGAGCTGACCGGTGTGGCGCAGGTACAATACAGGATGGATCAACATTATTGATTAAGATTGAAACAGTATAAGCTGTATTACAAATCAAGTAAAGATGTAATTTAAAATTTTTTTTTACATTTGTTCTAATATCTGCATTAGAGGCATCTAAAACTCACAAATAGGACATGCTGTCTATTCTGTTGAACAAGCTTAAGCGAGCTTTTCAATACTTTCCAATTGTGCCTTTGCGTCAGCTTCCAGAGAACACCAACTGTCTGACATGCGCAGCAGACGGCAGATTTCTAGGCCTGGCTCACACCCAGGGCCTCTCTGTGTGGGGCGCTTCCTCTTTCACCCCGGTTGCAGAATGGCTTGAACCACAGCTGGAACTGATCTTCATCCAGATGACCAGAATGGCTGAGATGACCTATCTGCTTGGGACTGTGGATGACATGGGTGGAGTACCACAGACCGGGCACTAATCTATTGCTAAACTCTCCATTCCTCCTTGTCAGTTATAGCACCTTCCCAAAAAGTATCCACACTTCTTAGTATTTTTCTACTTTCTTGCCTTACTGACACATATTTCAAAGTAATGCGATGAACAGACAGATAATATGCAATTCCAAAAGCAGAAAGTAAACAGAACCTGGGTTTTCAATGTCTTTTACAGATAATAGAGTTTGTATCTGTGTTTTGTCCCTATCAATAAAATCCCTTAGAATGCCTTATCTGGGTCTGTTTGTAAAATGTATTGAAGTTTGTGTTAAAGTATGAGAAAATATGAAAAAACAACTATAATTTTTGAAGACTGTAGCAGAGCATTTTTGTCAAATTAATATATTTCTCAAAGATTACTGAAAAACATAACTCTTGGCTGATTTAAATAAGAATCTTGAAATCTTTTCTTCTACGTTGTCTGGAAGCCAGCACTTAAAAGAACCCCAGCAAGTATCTGTGTGTTTCATTCCCCAGGTGTTGCCAGAGTGTTTGGATTTCACTCAGACGTCATTCATCTTCTCAATATTATCAACATAATGGTGGGTATATTACTTACAGCGAAATATTATTTTGCTGTTTGCTAGCTTCTTTTAGGATATAGTTCTCTTATGCTACTTTAGCAAAACCAAGTTAATAAGACTAAATCATTTCTCAAACAGGAAGATGTCACTGTAAGAAGCATTTTTCTGACATTTGACCTACATGAAGGTGGGCATTATGGAGCGGCGTCAGTAAGCTGTAAGTAACTTCTTTCACAGCGCGAACACATATGATTAGATCTTTACATTAAACTGCTGATTTCATACATTTTTGTAGGCAATGGTGTAGTGTGGCTAGAGGTCTATCAGTTTCCTGTAGAGCAATGGCTGAAAGAGCTGGAGATGGTATCATCACAAAAAACGGTAAAGACCAATGATCTGTTTGGACCTTGGCTATGTTGGGTATACTGCAAACTCTTTATACGTAGTGCGTATGTAATTTTCCTTTGTCATGAGAAAAGCAGCTATTAAACTTCTTAAAAAGTCTAATCTGGACACCTCAATATCTAACCAGTGCACTTCTGACACTTTACCAATAAATTTACTCCGTATGTACAAGAAACAGAAGACGTTCTTCAGTTCTTATTGATCACTGAGACAGTATTTGGGACACATTTAAACAATATGTCTTAATCTACAGCGAGGCAGCAAAAACGTCTGCGTTGGTTTTAGTGGATGAGATCCACAGAGATCTATTGTCGAGATGCTTTCATCCAATGTTCTCCTCCTGGCCTAAATTGAGCAGCATTGCGAAATCTCTCACAGTTTCTCTGCAGATGACACACAACTTGATATTTCTGTCATAGTCGGAGTCCCTTAATGAGTGTGTGGATTAGAATTTACTCCAGGTTAATGCAGAAAAAAGCAAGTCACTCTAGATTAGCCAAAGGTCTATAAAGCATCCAAGAAACATAAGTATAATACTTTTATTTAAACATCCTCCATTTTTTGCTACTAAATCAGCCTTCTACTGTTTTAGAGACATTGGTAGAATGGGCACCACGTGACTTATCGGTAAAAGAAGTCTCATTTTTCAGACGCTTTATCAAATCCTCAGGATGAAAATGGAACCGAAGGATCGGACATGAAATGGTCTCCGTTTACACTGATGATGAAAATCTCTCCACCTACACTTCCAGCAGGTAAAAAAAAACATCTTTCAAATGTTTTTACTCATTAGAACTTTGATCCACATCTGTTCTTTTGGACTTCTGCGATTTAAACATGAGTACCTGTAAGCACATCTTACAAGTTCTTTGCTGATTTGCAGGAAAGCCATCGGACTTTGTGACACACTGTTTGACTGTCGATATTATCAGAAGCAGCGGTCTTCACAAGGAACAATCCTCCTTCGGTTCAGATGCTGCCATAACAAAGCAGACACACGAAAGCCCGAGGTGCGTATAGATTGAAGCTAATGCGATTAGAATCAGACCGCTTCTCTCTTTTGTAAGGCTGCTTTAAATTTAAAACACATTAAACACATTTCAAAGGCTGCTGCACAAACGCAGCTTTTTTATGCTTTTGTTTCATTTTCATTGGGCTGCAAGCCTTGAGACTCTAACGATCGTCTTGTTCTCTTCCACCAGTTGCACTCAGCACTTTCTCCTGCCTTGCGATGGGTCAACAGGTGACAGCAAAGCAAACCCAGGTTTGGAATTCAAAGTGTTTCATTCTGTAATTGCTGAACATTGTGATTTATACAAAACAAAAGAGAGACAGTCACACGCGTTCATCATTTTGTGTACGTCATGTCAAATCTGTTCTATTGTTTTTGTGGCTCTGCCCACTGTTAATCATTAACATCGACGTTGGCCGTTGTTAGCAAATTTTGAACACATTGTTATTGTTCCCAAAAGTAAAACTGAGTTAATATTAATAATCAATTTAAGAATGATATCAGATGTTCGATTTTAGAAACGGGAGTGGTGCACAAGTTTTCATTTACAATAGATTTTTTCTGAGCTAAATAGCAAAAAATTAATAAACACATGCGAGGTCAAATATCTACAAAACCACCCCGAATGAAATCTCACTAAATCTTCCATTGAAAGTTGCAAAGCAGCCAATAAAAATAAGTATAGGACCGGTATTTGAACATCCTCCATTTTGTTTTTTGTTGTTAAATTAACCTGCTATTATTTTAGCATATTTGAATATTTGACTGCTCTAAGTTGATTTAAATTAGTTGGTTTATCAATTATTTTTGGTTAGGGTTGACGTTGAAGCAACTTCAGACGTCAACCTAGTGTGACAGTTCAGTTGAAGTGAATGTGTGTATGATTTCAGACCTTCTTATTGTTATCCTATCCTGAAAAAAAATCTCACATCTATTAACAAAAGCCAAAAAAAAAGAGATTATGAATGCAGTTGTTTGTAAAACACCAAATTGAAGCGAACATGTTCTATTTCTCAGCAGGACACCCTGTGGCTGTCGCTGTGTGGTGGAGCGGATCCACTAGTCTTCTTAAGTACTTGTTGCAAAAACCCCTAAAGAACAAATCAGGAAGAACATCTAATTACTTATTTATTTTAAAAATTCTGAATCTGTACACCTTGTTATAACAAACACTTGTATTTTTTTTGTTTGTTTGTTTTATTTTTGAAGCAGATGTGACACCCATGCCAGAAATGCTGTGGCCAAATGCGAAGGAAATCCTCTGCTCGGCTGTCAGCAGATGTACTTACTTAATCGCTCTCGGGCTTGAGGATGGAATGGTGTCCATCTGGAACAGACAATCTGGTGAGCAAACCTCACAAAGAATCTCTAAGAACATGCTGAAGAAAATTATCTTTTTTTTTTTTTTTTTTTTTTTTTTTACTCGTTTTCAGGAATAGCTGCTGTCATTGGAAGCCAAGTTGTTACAGTGGACATCCAGCCATCTTTAGCTTTAGAGCTAAACTCAGACATCTGTCATTTTATTGACACATAACAAATTTCTGTCAGTTAAACGTGGCATGATTTAAGCCTTATTTTTGAATTTCAGAAAAGCGTTTGATGCTGTCAGTCATCAAATTTTTGTATTGAGGCTGTTTAGTTTTTACGACGGAAAACTAGAGCCATGCTCAGAAAAAATAAAAGTAAGAAAATAACAAGATGAAAGTCATAAAATTGCAAGACTAAAGTCATAATGTTGGGAGAATAAATCACATGAATACAAAGCTATAACATTAAGAGAATAAAGTCATAGTATTTTGATGTCATAATCTTACGACTTTATTCTCGTATTATTTCAACTTTATTATCATTGGAGTTTATTCTCACAATATTATGGCTTTATCCTCCACATTTTAGTTATTTTGTAGTTTGGCCTTAGTATGCCACCATAAGTTTTAACTGACTTACTTAACTGATTGCTTTTATAGTTACAAAAACCCCTATGTATAACCCTATTACCCTACCCAGGTTCATATTTTCTGAATGACCCTTCATCTGATAATTCACATTTTGTTACAGACTAGAGGGGGTAAATGCTTTTGTTTTTAGTAAGGATTGGGGACTGTAATTAGTAAAATATTTAATTCTTATTTTGTCTTTTCTCCCCATTAGGAGCCCCGGTCTCAATTGTCCTGGTTCCAGGAGAAACCGTCGCCTTCTCCAGTATAAAGTTTGTTGATAACTGGTCTGTTCCTGCCCAGGACTGGGACATTGTGGGTACAGAACCGGTCGGAATGCTGGTGTCGCGTAAAAACGGAGAAATTTACATGGTGACTGCAGGATTAGGCCTGCAGTCCAGCACCATCCAGCTCTTCCAAAGGTCACCTAAATGTTACATATTTAATATTTTCTCACAGAAACCAAATAAATGTGCTGTGTTGACACATTTACTTTCTATTTAATACCACAGACCAGAAGATAGCAGGGATCTCCCGACTGTTGCTATACCTGTGCCTTTCCTGCAGGCTGTGGTATGAACACATAATCTTTTGGATGACAAAATGCACCACTTTTCAACTAATATTATTGCTGCATCCATGTACTGCTTCTATTTTTCTTCCTCAAACTAGTCACTTATCATGCAAAGAAGTGGGAAAATGTTCCTGACAGAAGCCATCAACAGAGAAACCGTGTGCTACCTGACTCTTCCGACATCCCACCAAACCGCTTCAGTCTACAACCCCATTTACACGCTAAGTGCCGAACTGCAAGCGTTGTTCATACGAGGTGATTATTATGATCCTGCGTATCGCCTAAAAGTCATTCCTGTAGCCAAAGGCTTTCGTTTGTCTCCCAGGTGACCAGGAATCCAGTGGTTTGTTGGAGAGCCAAAACCAGAGTCAGCTCTTTGTCTTCTATTTCAGTCAGTCTGACATCATTAAGCCTCACATTGATTGTCCCAGACAGCCAACAGCTCTTCACCATGGTACCCTGGAGGAAATCTGCAATGTCTATCTTGAGCAAAGGTTAGGACTCCAGGCGGCAGCCGATTTGTCGATTTCCACCGTTGATCTAAATGGAATCATTTTCAGCTGTTTTTCACGAGACCGATGTTTGTGACTTCACCAAGTTTCACATCATCGCTGCTCGGTAATTGTGGTCTCGGTAAATATAAACACTCCAAAGTGTTTATATTAAAACACTTTGGAGTGTTTTCTTAAGATTGAAGCATGCTTGTTTTTTGTCTAGGTCTCTCCTAAACCTTCATGTTTGCCGGTGTGGTTTGAATATTTGTCCTGCTGCATAACCAAAGTGGGTTTGAGCTTCACTTGACGGCTGGACGGCTTTCATTCAGGTTTTTCTGGTTGAAAGCAGAACGCCTGCTTCCATAAATTTATGGCAGATGTAATGGAATGAACACCTTCAAAACAAAAAAAAGTTTGTCTCCACAGAATGTTTTCTCAAAAGTCACCAAGATGTCCTTGGCAAACATGAGAGGGACCTTTGGGTTCTTTTTTTTTTTTTTCGGTGGTTTACACTTTAGGACTCTGCTATGCGTGCCGCTTCTGGCCAGTCTCTCATTCTTATTACTGAATCATCATAAACACTAACTTTAGTGTGGAAAGTGAGTCTGTCTGGTCTTACCAGTGAGACATCAAGGTACTTATAGAGTAATTTTGGATTGAAGATTAACCTCTGCTCACTGGTTTCTTTGTGGATCATGACTTTCCATGTGATTTGATGGAATTCCCAAGCCTTAAAAATGACTTTATAACCCTCAACAAAGTTGTGTGTAGACTTTGTTTCTTGTCTGCTCTTGATTTCTTTTTCAGAGTGGGGAAAGATGTTGATTTTCTTTAGATCTTTTGTCCTACTTCATGTTGACAGAGGCTATTTAAGTCACTCTGAACAGGTCGGTTTAACAAGTGGGTGATTTCTTCACATAGAGTCAAGATGGTTTGAATGCATTTTGGCGAAAAAAAAAAGTATTGGTCTAGTTTAGACAATCAAATCATGTGATTGTCTGAAACATTAAAGTGTGACAAAAAAAAATAGAAGGACCCTGTAAAGGGGCAAACATTGCATCACAACTTTCTATGTACACCAATATACAAAAGTTTACAGACCTCATTCCCAGAATGAATCAGAACTAACAATATTTACACTGTAACAGCTTTCTCCTGTTTTTCTCCGCAGAGCGCAATCTGTGGATGAAAGGAACAAAGCTCTTGAACAAACATGGCGAAAGATGCAGAAAACAGCGTCAGCGTTGCAGCGCACACTTCGGAGCCGCAAACATCAGAAGGACGCCAATCAATGAGTTGCCGATAGGCTATGAAATATATTTTTGTTTCTTCAAAGCCACCTACTTTTGTTTCTGTTCTCAGCACTTGTTTCAACTCAGTAGCAGTCCAGGAGCCAGCAGCTAGTCGGAATCAGACACAATAGATGCATTTCGTTTGTAGCTGCTGACAGATTAGAATTTACAAAACGCTGCTCACTTTTATAAAACGTCTCTTTTAAGAATAAAACGGCTGAAGAAAAAAAAAATTGCGTCCTGAAACTTTGCTTCATGTTTGTTGAATGACGGAGCGCTAGGGCCAGGCTACGAGATTCCTTCTCTAATTAAGAGAAGTTAGCAGAATAATAAAGATGCATTCTTACCAGAAAAACATTACGAGAAAAAAAGTCACTTAGTAAAAAATAGCCTTGATACATATTTTGTTGATTTTTGTGGAGTACTCGTAAAATGACGCCATTGTTATCCTAATATTGCAACTTCATTCTGATAATATTAAGACTTTATTCTTGTATGATTTCAACTTTATTGTACAACTTTATTTTCTTATTACTGCGGCTGTATTCCTGTAAATGTAACACTTTATTCTTGTTGAAAAATGCATCTTAGCTTTTGTCGTAGAGTTGATCTCAATTCAAAGTCCAAATAAATAGAAGCTGGTAATACAAGATGGCGCCGATATCACTTTGAACTATAGAAACCTAACGAGTGCATTAGTGGGGAAAAAATAAATAAAAATCCAGTCTTCAAAAAGTAAAAATTTGACGAATTGATAAAATTGATTTATCGCCCAGCTTTTCATCATGTTTCTCACAAGATGCTCTCGGAACTGGACTGCTGGAGATCTCTGTCCTCTCCCAGAAAGCTGCTGCTTAGCGGCGGAAGCTCTGCTTTCCTGTGGCTGTCGCCGCAAAGCACCAGCTTTTCCTGACTGAGGCGCCTCAACTCTCTCCTCAGGGACAGCGAGAGGGCCGGAGACGTGAACGATCCGGTTAAGACGGTGGCGTTTTCCGCGTCGCCGGCGGAGGCGGTGTTGGGGTGCTTCCTCTGGAGCCTCTTCCTGAAGTGGATGGTGAACAGGCCGTAGATCAGCGGATCCAGGCAGGCGTTTACCAGCCCGAAGATGAACAGGATGTGGGTCAGTGAGTGGGACACCTTGTCCTCCAGGTGGTCAGGAAAGAACCAGTACCAGAGGCCCAGCAGGTAGTAGGGTGTCCAGCAGACGATGAAAGACGAGACGATCACAACGCTCATTTTTAACGTTCTCATCCGGGCCTTGGGGATGTTGTTTTTGGAGCACCTCAGACGTACTCTGCTGGTGGGCACTGGGGAGAGACGAGACTGGAGATTTAGAATCAGGCTCACAGGTTTAAAGGGGCTTAAGATTTGTTGAACAAAAAAAGTTATGGTTTATTGTTGTATGAGCAGGACATGAGATTATTCCAAGAGTGTTGCAGTGATGAAATGAGGGCTCCAGGAAGCAGGCCACACTAAGGTCATTTTATTTATGCAGCACATTTTCTGCAACAAACCAGTTCAAAGAGAATATGTCACTTTTATAAGCAATGTTTTTTTTTTCCGTATTTGTTAAAACTGTTCATGTACATTAATCGCCCAGTCATGAAACAGATCATCTGCGATAAAAACAGAACAATTTGAGCTGCTCTTCCTTCCAGTGCTTCCAGTGCCAGCTAGAAACAACCAATCAGAGCCAGGAGGAGGGTCTTAGTGTTGTTAGTCTTGCTCATGCACACCCCTTCTTGCTCTCTGCTGCTCCACATGAACAAAACCTTGTGAAATTGTTCATCTTACCCATCAAGTAAGTTAGAGAATAAAAACAGGTGATTTGTATCCAGTCCATGTTTATTAGGGTTGTGGTTTTGATCATTTTTCTGGTTCATTTATGCTCTTTATGTCATATTCAGTTCATTTTTCTGATCATTATTGTTAGAAAGATGTTGCCATTTCAGTTCATTTCTTTTGGTGCGCTGTTTTTAGTGTAATTAAAAAGATTTTCCTAAAGCTGCGTTAGTCAATTCCCCTCAGTTTGTAACTCCTTCTGAGTTTTATGCTGCATTCCAGTTGGCTGGCAGGTCATGACTCGGAGCTGGGTTTGATGTCAGACCCGAGGTAGCGGCATTCTACTCGATAAGTCAGAATTTCAAATGAACTCACCTGTTTTCTTCATCGTGTCAGCTCCCTTGCAGAAAGTGTCCCTGGTGGTTTCCTTTTTTTTTTTTTTTTTTTTTGCAACGTAGCGAGGTGAACCGATTCACTCAAGTTCAGACTTACGGTTGTCCTTTTTCAGTCGTTTGGAGATCTCATGGAAGATCCTGGCGTAGCAGGTGACCATGATGGCCAGCGGCAGCAGGAACAGGCAGGAAAAGGTGAACATGTTGTAGGCCGTCTCGTGCCAACGCGCGGCAAAGCTTCCCCGCGTGGTGCACTGGGTGAACTTCTCAGGATGGACGATGGTCACGTTGTGAAACAGGAAGATCTGAGGGGGAAAGCCATTTCAGTCAGTTGAAATGACCAGTCCTTGTTCACATGCTTCACCTGTTTTCCCAGGTCCAATGTGGATGGATCATTGTCTCCTCAAACAATTTGTTCTCTGTGACCGATTGTTTTCCCACCCCATCACCCGTGAGACCCTTCGCTTCACTTTCTGTCTTCTTTTTGCAAGGCTCAATGAAAACATGGTGCAACCCAAGGATTTATGCTAACAGTCACTGCTGAGAAATCTCCACTGCCTGGGTGAATCTGTGTGGGAAAAGTAGCAGGGTGCAACTTTCCTCTCTTTTTCATAGCATAACCTTACGGCAGTCTAACACCCCTCAGTTCCTCACTATGATTCATACCAGCCATAAAATCGGGAGAGGCCGTGGTTTGGTTTATTTACCTCATAAAAACTCAAGAATGGACATTTTACAGTATCTCGTAGATTTATTGATGCCTTTCATCTTTTTTTGACAATGTAAGTTGTCAAAAAAATATTTTATTGGGATTAAATGTGAGAGGTCTTTTTAGTCTTTTCAGACAAGCAAACGCTGAACAGCTTATGGTGAGTTCAGCCTCCCATGACTAAATACTTAATCCACCTTTCACTGTGTTTTGACGTCTGTCTCTGTCACATTTATACACGAGAGACTGAATTCTTTTGTCCTAATAGTTTCAACTCAGACAGATTTCCTGGTGAGTCTTTGAAAAACACTTGCTAAAAGCTCTTGACCTTAAATGAGAAGTTTGTGTTGATACGCTGGCTAAAGATTTTCCGCATCTGCTCAAAGAAAACTGATCCAAGATCTTGTGGCTTGTTCAGATGGAGCTCTGTAGGTCCAGGTTGTGCTGACATGTCATTTCAGAAAGAAAAAAGATTCTGAACTTTCAAAAAGCCAAACATCTTTAGGGTTTTTTGCCCTTTTTTTTTTCGGCAGTCATAATCTTTGACATTTCACATGCTAACTGGAGCATGATCTGCTGTTTCTGTGACTTTGGGGATCTTCTGCTCAGAGTTACATCATTTGACCTTAAGAGTGAACATCGTAAGAAATCCAACTTTGCTAAGATTTGTTATTTTACTCCAGCATAATCTTCATTCCTGCTCTGCTTGTGGGCTAATCAACAGTTTTTAGATTTATACTCCCATTAGTTCACTATAAAACTCTAATATATATTATCCTACATCTTTAATGCCTTCTCTTGTGCTTTTCATTTTCTTGATGCCTAAAATGGAACTGAAACTGATTTGTGTTGCCTTGAAGACAAATCAGAAACAAATCAAAACACAAATTATTAATTTTTTTGCCATTTAGATTTTATGCGCCAGAAAAATATACAAAGTTGCGCATGACTTCAGCGTGGTGAAATGGTAACATGTTTTTTGAGCATTTGTTTTCAAATAAAGATCTGAAAGGTGTGGCATGCATTTGTTTTCAGCCCATTTAAATGCGGAGCCTGATTCCAAACTACGTGACAGGTTCAAGTCATGTACCATACGGCTACAGCCTTTGCGGAAGAGTGTCGGAAAGAAAGAACGTTTCTGGATGTGCCTGTCTCATTTATAAATGCACGCCACACTTTTCCCGTTTTTTGTTGTAGCCTTTGAGAACTGTTTCCCTTTGGCTGCATGCTACTTTGTGTAATTCTGCTATATAAAATCTCTGTTGAAGTTCTATAAATGGATTGAGGTTTGTGCAGAAAAAGTCTTTTCAACAGTTGGATTGGCAGTTAGAAGTTGGTTAAAGATTAGCTCAAACGGAAATCATTAAATCATATGCACACAGGCCCGGAATGACTAATTGTTGAAACTATTTTCAACTAATATAGATTGATCATTAACTACACAACGAAGACTCAAAAAAAAAACATTTGCTAACAGAACATCACACTCAAATCAGTCATTAAGCCAAAACTGTAGAAAACGTTTGCATTTAAGATTTGAAATGTTGTCTGTACATATTGTTTACCAGAACTCCTCAAGTAGAATGTTGTCTATCTTGTTCAAATTCTATAAAATACAAAATCTCCTGTAATGCACAGTTTGCCTGCATGCAGCGTAGACACAATTGGCTTTCTGAGAGTGAAGTAACTAAACGGTACGTCTAAAAATATACGAGCGCTGACATAAGACCCAACCTTTTGGTCATGTTGCCTTCCAACCACGACTGGCCTCACCTGAGGGATCGAAAGCACCACACTCATACCCCACGCCGCCGCCAGCATGATCCTGTTCCTCATCCGGGCCTTGTTGATCGCCAGAGGGTTGAGGATGGCGGCCTGCCTGTCCAGGCTGATCACCACAGTGACGAAAGCGCAGGAGTACATGGCCAGCAGCTTCAGAAACATCAGCAGCCTGCACGCAAAGTCCCCAGCGAGCCACTGGACGGTGATGTTCCACGCCGCGTCCACGGGCATCACCACGAAGGTCACCAGCAGATCGGCCACGGTCAGGTTGACGATCAGCACCCTGACGTGGGATTTCCGCTTCCCGTCCCTGCGTGCCGCCCACAGCACGGCCAGGTTGCAGAAGGCTGACGCGCCGCACAGGATGAACGTGATGATGACTCTTACTTTGGCCGCCGTGGTGAAGGTGGGGAGCTGCGGGACGTCCTCCACGGCTGTCAGGTTGGAGGCGGCCAAAGAGCAGTTGGAGGTGACGTTGACGTGGGGGTCACGCATGGTCACTGCGGACTCACACGGAACAAAGTTCATTTCCTGTACGTTTGGGAGGAGGAAGCATTTTGCCCGTTGTCTGCAACGAGAGGGATGAAAAGAGGGATTCAGCACAGGCAGCAGGAAGTGGCCACAAAGCTACAAACATACCAGGAACAACTACAAAAGGGGAGACATGATGAGAAATGATACAATTGGCAGAAAGGACCAAACTGAGACACTTTGGAGGCCGTACAATATAAAAATAGGTTTTTATATCGTATTAAACATTGGTCATTATAATTATTTACCTTGATCAAGAGTTCTAGCTTCTAAATGGAATTATTACTGAAACGATTAATTGTGATTATTGGTCTAATTGGATTATTAGTTATTTGTGACAGATGATCAAAATAATCCGCAGCTCATGGAGTCATTGATTGGCCGCAGCCTCTTCACCATGTGACAGTTGTTGCCAGGTCTTAGACCTGAGTGAAGTTGTCCCTGCCCTCCCACCCCGCCCACACCTTCTTCAAGAAATGTTTCTAGAGGTCATCAAAGGTCAACCAGCCCCTCCCGCCCCCCACACCCACCTTCTTCAAATCAGATGAAATGGGTGTCAATTGACTCGACTGCGTTTGTGCTGGCAAATTTATTTCAGTAACTTTATTAAATAAAAAATGAGTGAAATAAAAATCATTTTCCACACAGACACGTTTATAAAAGTGAAATGTGAGACGTGGAGAAAAAAACCTAATCAGACAGGAACGTTTACCCCAAGAGGTTTTATGTAATTGCTTCATTGATCTGAGTACACGTGCACGCCACACTTTCTAGATTTTAGTTTGTCATTCAGCCTTTTGAGAATGATGTGTCCTTTCCTTCAGCTTCAAAATCACGTCTTGTTTGTGTTTGCGAGTTGCATAAATTTGTTGGAGAAAACACCGTGAGCTTATTGGTTCTTAGAGAACAGGTCACATTCAGCATCTGCGTATTTTTCTGCATGAAATTGTGAAATTATATCATTTTTAAAAATGCCATAAACAAAAAAAAACATCAGAAATTTCAAAAAGTGCTAACTCACTTTTGCATCTGATGATTTGTAAACAACTGGGTTTCTTTATGTTGTACAGTAACATTATCCCACTCCGTGTTACAACGTGTAGAGGTACAAACATATCACTGCAGCAAGACTCTGATATCCACATGGATGCAGACATAGAGTTAAAACTACACGTGTAACATTTAATGTCCTGAAGATATTTTCTTTCCACTTCTGCACTCCCACACCCAATTACCGACTGCTGACTCTCCCCACAGATGGCATTTTATTGCTCATCCGCCAGGAATTTCCTAACAGAGAAATGCTTCTGTCGATCATTTTTAGCTTTTCCAATCGTACAGCAAATGAGAAGAGAGACAAACAAAGATGTTTATGGCACAGAATGCATTTTTGCAACCTATCCCAAACAGAAATAAAATGTCAAAAAGGGGGGAATGAAACTTGCGCTTACCGTGAACGGAGGCTGTGAGGAACAGGAGTGCTTGGAAATCTGTGAGGAAGGACATGCTAAGGCTCCCCTGGAGAACCGCAGCGGGTCACTGTGAGCGCCTCTGCAGCTTCTGCTGCACCTTTATCTGAACATCCATCCATCATCAGAGCTGCTTCACCTACGGAGGAGTGGTCTTAACGCCAGCTCCTCACTAACTCTCCCTCTCTCTGTCTCTCTTGTACTGGTGGATAAATCCTGTGATACTGAATGGGGATCATTTTTTTCCCTGTGGGTTTTACTGGTGATCATTACAGCAGCTTTAAATATATATATATATATATTTGCAGCCATTAGGACTCTTAAGTCAATAAGAGTCCTTCCTCCTAACTTTCTTTTAGCAAATATCACAGAAAATATGTTGGTCCCCCTCCAGAGATTGTATATCACATATTTAATTGATGGATGACTTTCAAAACTGATTTTGCTTTTACATACTCCACCTTAAAAGGTTGTCCCCCCTCAAACATAAACGCAGGTTTTTATGATGCGCTTCTTTCAGAAGCAGAAAATCAGAGTGGTTGTTACACATTTTTCATCCCTCTGGAAATTTAAATGAGGCGACTTCATTTTCAAAAAACATTCCACCAACATGAATATCTTGTCAGTTTTATTATTTTTTTTGTTTGTTTGTTTTTTGTTGCCAATCTGTGGCAGGAAGTACATTTCCGTTCAACCAAGAGTTCAATGATATCTCATAACTATGTTTGAGCAAAGCTTAATTACTGGGGTCTGTTTCCATGGTGATATCCTCGTTTAGTTCAAGGAGTCGTGTGAGAGATTAATTAAATCCACGTTCCTTTTTATCCCAAACACGTTCCCTGTCTGCTCTGTTCAGTCTGGGGAACGGTGGAGTCGGTTCGCATTTTATTCAGAGGGTGATGTTATTCAGGGTTGAGCGCTTTTTGTTATTCTAATGTCACACACTTTCATTCCTCTACGCTTTGGTTTGATGAATCAACAAAAGCAGGTGGCGGTGCGTGCGGCGGCACGCTGGCAACAAGCAGCGAAAAACAGTCGAGCAAGAAAAACTGTCCAGTGTAGCTGTGACGAAGTTATTGTTTCCAATAACTCGTGAAGTTGTGAAACGTTTCTAGTTCAGAGGTTTTCTGATTTGAGATAAGCAAAACATTTTACACCAACTCGTTTTGTTTCTGTACTTTTATGTTCACATTAAAACGCCTTTAAAATAAATACACCTGTAAAGCTATAAATGCTAATCCCTGGAGATCTTTTCCCTTTAGATAATATTTGGTTTACTCATTCTATATATATATATATACATATATATATATATAAAAGCATTAATAGTATTAATCTCTTTCAAAGAGCTGTGGAGAATATTGTTATTGTCCTGTCCTTGTCAGCAGGATCTGTTGAGAGATGGATTTGTTCTGATTAAATGATGGCCAGATCACAGCCAGGAAGGAAAAGAACACTCTGACCCAAACAGGATGTTTTGTTTGCCATTTTCTTCCGGCTCTGTTCATCAAGTGAACCGTGAACGAAACACAATACTCCACAGCACACTCAGGCTTTTGAAAAGCAGGCGAACTTTAGCATCTTTCACCATTTGTCGCCCTCTTTAGCAACAGGACAGAACTTGGTTTTTCTGCTGTGGCATTCGATAAGTTCCTGGAGTGTATTTATTTTTTTTAGTTCCAAATGACCAAAAACCATAGGACATGCATCATGGAAAGCGAAAAAGAATAGAATAAAATTAGAAAATTGAAGATTGTGAAAAAGTGCAATAGTTTTGAAGTTTTATAGAGATTCATTACACAGGGATTAAAGCATTTTAAGCTTTTGTCATTTTGATTATATCAAATCTGTGTTAACCGTATCTTTGATGAAGGTGGCTTAAAAAAAAATTATATATCTCAGAAAATGTTAATGTTCTGAAAAAGTTATTCATGGAAAGTTGAGGGGAAGGAAAACTGCAGCCTTGAGAGGAGATTGTTAAGCAAAAAAAAAAATCCCTCGGAGAATTTGGGATTTCGTTTGCTGAATCCTTGTTGCTTGAAGAAAAATCAGAAGTTTCCAGCCAGTGATGGTTTGGGGTATCAACCCACCATGTTGAGTGACCTGACCTGTGCTTGTGTGAGTTAGAGCTGTGGGCATAACAATAGTTTGGTTTCCAAAGCGACGCTCCTGCTGATCTCCACTGAAGATGTTTAATTTTTTTTTTTGTGCCTGAGCACCGGCTCTGTTTGTCATTTCCTCCACATTCTGGGCTTCCCATGGAAAAGCAGTCAGGTGAAGCTGGTGAATCCAACATATCGGGTTCACCAGCATCTGTTCCCATTTGAGACGGGCGAGCGGGGCGGCTTTTAACTAATTAGTGAGGAGAGTTTTAACGGGTCACCTGTTCAGAGCAGGAGTGCTTCCCTCTTTTTTGTGTCCAGTTACAAGACTATTTGGATCAGTTAAAACAAAACACAACTTCCTTTGTTAAAAGAAAATAAATATATAGTTAATGGAAAAAGAAAGAAAAACACCATTCCCAAATGCATTTTATTTGTTCTGTACTTTTGTTGAACCAGATAATACGGTTGGGAAATTTTACAAAACCAATGTGAAATCAAATTAATGCTGCAAAACCCCAGAAAAGACGGTGAGAGATTCAAATACAGCCTCTGCTGACCAAAACAAAGACGTTTTGAGTTTTCAAATGAATGAAAAATTACAACATTTCACTTACAAGCAAAAAAATCTGATAAGTGTGGTGTGTATTTTGTAAATAGGATCTGATTACAAATCCAGGTGTTCTGTGAAGGCCGCCGAGGTTTGTTAGAGAACATCGGTGAGAAAACGGCATCAAGGAGGAGGACATCAGACAGGTCAGGGCGAAAGCCCAATATTTCAACATCTTGTAGTTCTGGGCAGTCCATCAAATAAAAAAGAGCAAAACACACTGCAAACCAATCAAGCCATTTGTGTCCACCCAAAATGTTTTTTTTTGTGTGTGTGTGTGTGTGTGTTGGCTCTAGGTTTGGACTTTGACTGGGCCATGTGCACACACGAGGATTTCTGTGTGATGCACTTGTGGTTCTGAAAATCTAATATCTCCTTTGTTTTCTTAATTAGGTCATTAGTTTTGAAGTTAAATGTTCAGCATTGGAGTTTCAGTTAGTCACAGTTCGATCATTAATCTCAGTCCTTTTGTCCATCAGTAATTAAATTGCCTGCAGTGGTAAAGGAAATAAGTTATTCAACATCTGGATTAATCCTGAGACTTATGGTGCATTAGGTTTTCCTTAACACAAATCCATGCCACACTTCTCAGATTTTAAGTAAAAAAAAAAAAAAATATATATATATATATATATATATATATATATATATATATATATATATATATATATATATATATAATTATTATTCTTTAAAAAAATTGTTTTTTTCTTTTAAGAATAATTACGTGACTTTACACATTGTATAAACTTGACCGCCAAAATGCTGGGACGTTGCAGGATAAAAACCTGTAAAAAGTTTAAATGAATACTTTGCATAAGCCGAAGGAGAAAGCCATTTGAAGAGCCTTTTATTTCTCAGTGGGCCCAACTCGCGTCCGCGAGAGGAACAGAAACTGAAAAGGCTCCGCGTCTCACATGACACAAGCCGATACAGGAAGTGCCCGGGGCAGCTAACAGCGGCCGCCACGATACGAGCTCACTCAGCCCAACAACAATGATCTTGTGGCGCACAGGAAGTAATTGACGTTCAAGCTCAAAACAAAGAGAAATACGAAGATGGAGGCGAAGGGAGCGCTCGGCGTCGCTCTTGTGTTCGTCATCTCCCTCATATCGCAGGTAGGTTTCAGACGGACGAGCGTCTGTCGAGCTCAAAGATCTCCGTTGTTGTCGAAAACACGGCGACGCGCCGAGCTCCCCCAGCCCGCCTGCCTGTTGGGTCGCGACGAGGCGCCGATGTTTGTTTTTGTCCGCTGCGGTTTAAAACGGACGGAACGCGGAGAGTAGAGGGCTAGCTAGCAATGCTAACTGTTGTTAGCTCTGGTTTATGAGTCAGCCTCACTGGCGTAACGACGAAAACTGCTTGTATTTCTACTGAACATGGTCCCTTTTCACGGACACGAGTCAATACGTCTTATTGTATATAAAAATATACCATTACATATAGTTTTAAATACGTTTTACGGCATTTTAATCACCATTTAGCCAGCTTAAACATTAGTTTGAGTTGTATTCAAGGTAGAGAGGGACTTTCACCGTCTCCACTTCCCCATAGCAACAAAGTTTTCATTTACGGCATTACTCCCGATCAAAGGTGAATCAGGAAGAAAAGAAGAGGAAAAAATGAGTACTCTAACAACTGACCTAAGTAAATAAGTCATTACTAAAATATTTACCTATGATAATTTAATAACATTGAGAATAAATATTTATTTTGGAACATTGGGAATATGTGTTAAAAAATACATTTGTGCGCAGTTAATAAATTATTCCAATGAATATTAAAATTCATTTAAAAATTATAAAATGTGTAATTCAAGCTCTAGCACTTTTATATGTTACGATAATGTATAATGTTGTCAAAATATAACTACATTATAAATCTGTATTTGTTATGGGGGGGGGAACAAACGAACTGCATGTGAATTTATATCACACGTTTTGGGAATTGCAAGTTTAAGATAAAATCATGCAGAGATATTTCATCTACCCAGAGGTAAGATGCCGGGTGAACAATGGACAAACAACCGCAATCACTCTTAGAAGGTATTTATGTGTGTAAATATGAAAACATTGTTTTTTGTTATTATTATTGCAGCATCTTTAAATCAAGAACCCAGAATCCAAAAATCATAAAGCACTAATTGTGCAACGACTTAATTGGTCTGAAAATGTCTTATTATTACAATAAAATGCTGGTTTGTAAAAGTCTTGATTGAGCCTTGTGGAAGAGGACAGTGGGATTTATCTGGTTAAATAACAATTTAGTAATTGGAAAAAAATCATAATCAAATATTTTATCGATTATTCTGGTGACTAATTGGATTTTTTTTAAAAAGGGCATATTCTCCAGATTTTTCCTTTAACCACATCG